GGGAACGAGCGGTCCCAAAACGCAGCAAAAATGCGCAACCACTCTTGTTTAGCGACAGAAATTATGGGCTCAGTTGTGGCTTGTTATTATTTCCAACCTTATCAAAATTGAAAAATGCGGGAGGAGGAAAAAGGCCAGCACTGAACACCCCATTGATAATCAAGTTTGAAAAATATATATATATACCGTATTTTTCAGAGTATAAGACGCTCCAAAGTATAAGAAGCACATAGGTTTTGGGGAGGAAAATGAGGGGGAAAAAAAAAAGCTGCCTCTGCCTCCCAGCAATTTGCCTTCTTGCACCAAACAGCCCATTTCAGTTTCAGCACAGCCTGATTAGCAACTGAGTGTCGATTGGATGTTCAGCTGTTTCAGGCTGCAGGGATTGCCATTGCCTATTACCGCCTCTGCGTCCCCCATTTTCCGCCCGTTCTGGGCAACGGGGATCAGAATGGGCAGAAAATGGGGCGTACGGAGGCGAAAAATGGGATGTGGAGGCCGAAAAGGGGGCACACAGAGGTGTCAATAGGCAATGGCAATCCCTGCAGCCTGAAACAGCTGATGGTCGGGAGGCTGATCCAACCGACAATCAGCTGTTTGTGCTAATCAGGCTCTGCTGAAACTAAAACAGGATGTTTGCTCTTTGCTGCAAGGAGGCAAAGGCCAAAGGTGGTGGGGGGGAGGGTGTATAAGATGCACCCAAATTTTCACCCTCTTATATTCCAAAAAATATGGTCTATTCTAATCTTTCTATCTTTTTTTGAAAACCTTCTGCTAGAACATCTTCAAAATTCAGCCTTAAGGCCCGATAATTTCAGGCTACTTTCTGTCACGCTGATCAAAGGATGCTTCTCTATGTCTGTAATTTCCCCCCCTTCCATTATAATCAGGCACATATGTCTCCGTACCAAAAATATCAAAATCCTGCTATCTGAATACAAGATCAAGTGGAAGAGCGCAGCTGGTTCCTAGGGCATCTAAGACCAATTTATCTCTCTTCTGATGCTTTCTGTTCTGCTTCAGGCAGGGTCCTGATTTGCTAAGCAGCTTGTCTAAGGAGGACGGGGGTTTAGAAAAAAAAGTGGAAACTTAGCATTTTTGAAAGACACTGTCAAGTTTCCAAGTGATGAAACCCATTCAAAGAAGAAATGTGCAAAGTCCATCTTCGAAAACAAATTCTTACGGTGAGGGAAGGGAAGAAGTCACCTAGCCAAAACAATCCTCACTATCTATTCGCTCTTCCCCCCCTCCACCTTAAGTATGTGGAGAGCCCGAAACCCTCCACCCCCATTTACATAGTAAAGAGAAAGAAAAGGAATAAAGGAGTAGAATAGAGAGCTAACGTATTTTTCAGACTATAAGATGCACTGGTATATAAGACACCCTGAGATTTCAAAGAGGTAAGTAAGGGAAAAAAATGGTTTTGTTCTCCCCGGCCCCCAGGAGCACACGGCAGGCTTCAGCAGGGCTGGGGAAAGCAAAAACACTGTTTTTGAAAAAAAAAGGGGGGGGGGTATTTGCAGAAATGGGGGCGTTTTTGCCTTCAGCCCTGCTGAAGCCTGCGGAGTGCTCGTGGGGGAAGGCAAAAACGCCTCCATTTTTGTGAAAAAAAAGCCCGTTTTTCGCAAAAATGGGATGCAGGGCGGGACTTCAGGAGGCTAAAAATGGCTGTATTCGGTGTATAAGACGCACCAATATTTCCACGCTCTTTTGGGGGGTGGGTGGGTAAGGTGCGTCTTATACTGTGAAAAATACGGTAAATAAAATAGCTACACATATTTCAAATTTGGGCTCGACAGGCATATGGGCTTGGGATGGTTTGAAAAGTCCAATATCACAGCACTGGGGGAAATTTTCTCCCCCTTCCATTTCCTCTTCATCCAAGCAACTAATGATTTCAGAGATCTACTGGATTTTAGTAAAAGGTCAGGTAACCTCTGACTTACAACAGTTTGTTTAGGGATTGTTTGAAGTTTCAATGGCGCTGAAAAAAAAATGACTCAGGACCATTTCCCCACACTTACGACTCTCGCGGCATCCCCACAATCACACCATCGAAATTAAAACGCTTGGCAACTGGTTCAGATTGAGGAACTTTGTGTCCCAAGGACCACGTGATCACTTTTTGTGACCTTCTGACGAGAAAAGTCAATGAGGAAGCCAGATTCACTTAACAACCGGGTTACTAAGGCAATAACAGCAGTGATTGGGTGAAAAATTGTGGCAAGAAAGGTCATAAAATGGGGCAAAACTCACTTAACAGCTGTCTCAATTAGAAACAAATGTATTGGACTCAAGGACTCTCTGAACAACATATCCAAAAAAGGGGGCCAGATTATAAGGGCATCAGGCTACTCAGAATTTTATTTTGACCTGACTTGTCTTTTAGTCCCGAAGGTGTTTTTTTTTCTTTGAAAATGTTTCGCTTCTCATCCAAGAAGCTTCTTCAGTTCAGAACTGAAGAAGCTTCTTGGATGAGAAGTGAAATGTTTTCAAAGAAAAAAAAACAACGCAAGAAAGTCCAGTTGCCTTTTGGGGAAAGCACCCTTTGGAACAGCCATGACCTGAATAATAGTGAATCTCCATAGACGCCTGTCCTTCACGATTCAAAGTCCAATTCTCACAAGACAGAAACAAGCATGCTGAGTGAGTAAAGCTTACGCCGTTTCCCTGAAAATAAGAGTCGGGTGGAAAATACCGTATTTTTTGGACTATAAGACGCACCGGAGTATAAGACGCACCATGATTTTGAAGAAGTAATTTTTTAAAAAAAGTTTTTGGACTCTGCAGGTCTCCTAAACACTCTGCACATCTCGTTTTTGGAAAAAAAAAGGGGGGGTGAGGCATGAAGAGCTTTGGGAGGCTTTTAGAGTGCTCCTGGGGGTTGGGACAAAAACGAGCAAAAAACAGCCTGTCTTTTGCAATAAAAAAAACGGGGGGGGGGGAGATCATGCAGAGGCTTTGGGTGGGTTGTAGAGTGCTCCTGGGGGATGGGACAAAAACGAGCAAAAAACAGCCTGTCTTTTGCAATAAAAAAAACGGGGGGGGGGGAGAT